CATGTGATGACTGACCTGCTGACTGTTTGTGTCATTTCATTTCAAGGGCGCCTTCATTTGTTTTAAAAACGTGGCATCCAAAGGAGATTTCACCAGACACAGACGAGGATCAGTTTGCAAACACTCCAAAGTGACTCCTCAAAACTCCAATGACTGCTGAGCATTAATGGTTGAATTGAATTTAGTTCCAATTAACCATTAGCATTATTGAATCAGTGGAGGCTGATTTCACTCTGTAGCTGACGTTCAGGCACAAATAAATGTCATCATTTCTCTGTTGTCTGGTGACACAGGCATCACCCCCACACCCAGTAAGGCTAATGTGCTCATTACAAAAGAATGACAGTGCTTAATACTTTCAATTTAATTAGTCAGACTCGGTGACCACAGCGGAAATAAAACACACTTACAAAGAGACCAAAAGAAATCTTTATTTACTTCATTGGAGAAGGCAAATTATGAATAAATAATTTTCATCACTAGGCTGGGGGATGTGTGACAGTGTTCAAACAGGCAAGCCAGTGAATCACAAATATTCATGTAGGTGGGCGTACAGCACATGCAGGAGGTAGTGTGGCTCACTGCCCCGTGTGCCCTTTTCACCAAATGCAATCATGGAAGACTTTATTATATAATAATAAAAGAAGGAATAATAAAAATGACATATTCTTACACTTGCAACCTCGGTATAGAAAGACAACGACACATAACAAAGCCCTACATAAAAGGTTTGGTCTAGTTCTCTAACATGATTTTGGAATAAAGGTGGGAAGACACATGATGCCTCAACTAGTTCCCGTTCTAGCACACACTTTAAATTGCACCTGACAGGTTGATTATTTAGCAGGCTACTCAAGGTCCAGTGGCCCTGAGCTGCAAAATACACACAAAAACAAACACTTCACTTTAGGGAAAAGGTAGGCATAGTCTTTTAAGATTTTGAATGCTGGGTCCAAAGTCTCTCGCTAAATGTTGGTACTGTTCTTGTGTAAAATATAAACTGAGGGAATGAAAGCGGAGCCCTGAGGAGCCTAAGGGATACTTTAACAAAGATATTCAAATGATGTACACAATATAGGCATAGTAGAGGACCACATACACACCATGAAGCTCACAGTTTTTGTGCTGATGTTAATGCCACAGAAGGCTTAGGTTCCTGTCCTGCCTAAATGCTTCCACTCTGTAGTAATACCACTCACAGCTGATTCTGGAATATCTCGGCTGAACTCTTCAGAATGGCCCATTTCCCCACAGATGCTTGTAAAAGCAGACTGCGTGGCTAGGTGCTTGATTTTATCCAACTGTGCCAATGGGACTGAAAACGTGAATTAAAACACATAGAGGTGTTGCCCAAAATTATACAAGGCAACTATTCTAAGAGTAGAATAGAAAAATAACCTAAAACAGCCCTACAATATCACTTCTGTTTCCATGAAGGGAAATATTGTGTTTGCACAACAGAGCCATCGCATCATCAGATTAGCTCACGTGTATCTGGTGCATTCATCCAGTTGTGTCATTCTCCAAGGCAGGTTCTCACTGCAGCAAAGGAGTGCAGCGAGTTACAAACCTGGTTTTTGATCATATAACTTCTGTTTAAACACAGCCGACACATTTGCTTCAGTGATGGAAATGTGTGAATAAGGAGGAACATTCGATCAGCCAAGATTGACAAAAAAGGCAAAAGGCTGTGAGGGTTGTGTACGTGAAGCTACACACTTGGCCATTCTCACGCAAAAGACAACACGTATGACACAACTTTAAAGAGAATGACTGCAAGGTAGACAAAGTCAGACTTCCATAAATGTGCTTGTTCTCCAGCCCACACACACACACACACACACTGATAAAGTTTTATTTAGATCCTCTCTGTAATCAACCGCCTTACTGGAGCAGATGCAATCTATTTTCATATTGCATTATGATTTA